GAAACACATGTTCAAAGGGGATTTTGAGAATGTTTAAAAACATGTGATTATCGAAATGCATGTAAGACTTACATTTACATACAATTTTTTTGTGTCTTCCTTCGAAAGATCCGTTGTGTATTATGACATCGACAGTGCTAGATTACTGTGTTTTTTTTCTCTGTTTATTAGTGTTGTTAAACTGTCGTTCTGACTGATTCAAAAATAGAAACGAATGTTTTTTTTCTTCACAAAAACTTGACGCAATGAAAAATTTCTTCCCGTTTCTTAGACCGACTGTATTTTCAAAACTCAAAGAAACATATGTCGATCGAAACAACAACAAAAAAATATGTTAGAAGCCATACGCGCGTGATCTCAATGAATAATCATTACCACTTGAAGATGCGCCGAATCTGAGAAAATTCACAGTGAAAAATTCCAAATGCTACAATATCTTCGAATTGAATCTCTTCTTATGAATGAAAAATTCACTTCTCTCTAATAACATGTATTCGAAATTCGTCTAAACGCTTCAAACGAAAGTGTTTATGTTGTACAGACATTTTCGATTTGGTTGGTAATCTATTAGCCGAGTGAGTGGCCGATCTCGATTATTATTTTGACTGCTCGAACAAACGAATATTTAATTAAATTGAGAGACAAGTTGTGAGCGTAGTTTTTTTTCTTCTTCTTTCAACATCAGTTCAACTAATTCATCAAAGAGGCAAACTACTTTTGAGAGAGTTTATTTTTTGGTTGTTTATGGTTTTGTTGTAGTTTTGTCGCGACATATCAAGTCACATGCACACACATTGATTGTTGAAAAAACATCGAATCGCATTTAAAATACACAAAGAACCAATTAATTTCTTGGCTCAATGTTTTGTTCGACCGCAATAGAGACGAGTGTACGGTTGTCCTCGTTGATATGTCATGGCATCGATTCGGTAGAATTTGACTGAACAATAACAGCAAACATGAAAAACCACATAAAGACTTCGTTCATCAAACCAAACATGAATCGCATTATCTTAGGTTTTAGTCACATTTTAAGACATAAAATAATTATTCGAAAGAGCCAAGAAAAAAAACGCATTGAAATCCGAGATTGTTGCGCATGCTGTGGTGCTCGGTCGTACACACTGCGAGAAATGAATTTTCACTGAAAAATTAATTTATCTAAGACTGTCACGTTGACAACTTCTTAGATCAATCTTTGCCTCTAATTAACCGTTACCGCAAATGATTTGCAAAATCACTATCCGTTGGCTGTTTCGTGGCATCACTTGGTGTTCTTTTTGTGATTTGTAATTTTTTTGCAAAAATGATACAGTCCTGTCAATTTGTGCTTAAAAATCCTGATAATCCACCTGGTGAAATTAATTCTAATTTAGAATTTCTAAAGCTTGGCTCTGATTTCCATGCATGAAATTGACCGAAGCGTGAAAATTGAAGAAAATAAAATAAGATGAACTGAACAAATGACTATGAAAATATAATATGAAATATTTTGCCTTAGAAGCAACAGCAACAAGCACGAATTTTCATTCGTGCCCATCAAAACAATTGAATTTTTCGGCTGACGCAGCGGATTAAAATTTTTGACTTTGCATATCTTTTTGAAAAGTGTTTTGAATATAACATTTGAACGATTTTAAAGCGAAAAAAGAGAGGTGGATAGCCGTTGTTGCTATTGTGGCTGCTGGTGATGGTGCCGGTGCCAGCGCGATGGCGAGTTTAAAAAAAATTCAATGGTTCAACGAAATTTCTCGATAATAAACAAAAACGCCGCAGCTGATTGGGAGGCGAAATACCATGGAGATGAACAAAAAAAACATAGAGAAGATACAGACAGGATATCGCATACAAAATGGAACGAGACAGAACCCATATCAATTTATTTGACAGCTGACTCGAATGTAAAGCGTGTGTTCACTCTGAGCACAGTGCGCGCTCTTTCTTTCTGTTACTCGGTCTTTCACTCGGTGCTTTTTTTTGGTATATGTGTGTTGTTGTTTCGATTTTAGTATGCAATCGAAAATGCCTGGAAATTTTAACATTTTGTGTACATATTTTTGTGTATTTCGTTTGCCGCGTACTGTTCACATGCTGTTCTGGAACTGATGTGCCTGACTCTTGTCGTACACACTTTCTTCCCATTTTCGCAAACTGAAACCGTGTAAAAGACGTTTTGTACATTTCTTCGCACCAAATACACACACAAACTCTTGCCGAATACGATATCGGTGTCGTTTTATATTTGCTTTCATTCTCTTCTTTCGTCTTTTATTTCGTTAAATTTATCCAGAATCGATCCTTTTCATTTTTGGCGAACGAAACCAGTTTTTTTTTTTCATAAAATTGTTTTGCATATAATCTACACCAGAAAATCCATGTCATGAAATTGGACACAATGTGACTTTTCACAATTTGTTATTTGATATGTCATTGAATGCATAATATGAAATTGAAATTCCATTATCGCGAGGGTTTTTGCGTAAAAAATGACTTTTTTCCCCCACTTTGAATTCAGTTGAAGTTGATTCATTAATGCATTTTGAAGTGAAAATTCCTGTTCACAGAACTCGACAAATATATATTTAATGCGCTTGTCGCTGACGCTTCGAATAAAATCAAAATAAATGCATGATTTGATTTTAATTATAATGTCCGGCTCGAATGAGCGAATTATAAATTACATACACTATTTGAAAATTGTGCTGAACTATTATTAAAATGCCTCGTAATACCTAAACACGAAGATTTAAAATGAAAAGTGAAGGAGAGAGAGAGAGACATAACCGTGCACATGCAACAATCATTCTTCATCCTCATCCATAAAAAACAATCGTGTAAAAAATATCCTATATGCGGAAAAAATGAAATAGCTCTCGTTCTCTGCGTTTTTCCCAAAGTGCTCTTTTTCATTGGATAATTTTTGAAATGCGTGCATTTAATGAATGTGTGGAAAGATTGTGGAAAAATAACAAAATCAACAACTCTCGCGCCTCGACCAGCCCGAGAAATAGATCGCGCTTTGTGATCAAGTAAATTAAATTAACATTATCATTAACATAGAAAATGGCTTTCAAACAATTTCGGTTCGTAACCATTTCAATGAATTTCATCTTGTTTTTTTGCTGTTGTTCAACTTTAACTTTAGACTATTATTACTCTGATTACTCGACTCTTGCATTAAATTATTAAAAACTTGGTGAAATTGACAAAGAGTTCTTTCAATCACTCATCGCTTTCCCCCCGTCGTCACCAATGAACATGATAGTCCGTAGAGCTCATATCAAAACACTTACTTTGTATGTTACTGATACATTCCACGAAAAACGGTAGATTTATTTGAAAGACCCACCTCGTCAGTTAATTGCAATCGATAATAATTGCGCGCATGATACTAATCGACTTTTAATCGTCTTGAGTATACATCATCATTTCGATTCGAAACACACACACATACACAACTCTCAGAGACATCCGTCATTATGAAATGTACGCGTACCTGTTTGGAATTTGAGCATTTGGAAGTGGAGCCCAGATCATACGCCATTTGTTTCAAACTTGCACGGTATTCATTAATGAACCGAATCATAAGAATCGTTTTTTTTTACTCAGTAACTTTTTTGTAGCTCAACCCAAAATTAAAAGTACATCACGAATATAAATTGTGGCACTGACAAAGAAAATGAGCGAGCGAAGAGTATTTTTTTCTTCTTCTTTGAACTATCATGGACAGCAATACGTCAAAAGCAATTTGATTGCTTGAAGTTTGATTTGATGATGGTCGGCACACACTGCTTCATCATTTTTTGCCCATTTGTCTTTAGTCATCCATTTTGTTTCTATGATAACACCTAGTTTTCTTGATCCAATTGACCAATACGAATCGCTCAACCCGTTCTACAATTTATTGTTTGACTCAGTTGTGAGTGCAAAAAAAATGAATGAAAGGAAATAATCACAGATTTTCTTTAGTAAAAATGACGTTGCTAAAAACCTTTCTTGAAAAAATTCATTTTTTTGCACTTGTCCATCATCATTCAAGTGTTCGTGCTTTGATAGCACACAATCAAAATGGTCATTCACAATTGTATTTTTTCCGTTCAACCAATTCAAATAGTAAAAACTTTAATGCATCACAAAGAAAAAAAACTTTTCAATAAAAAAAGCATGACCGTCAAAATAGAATGAAAAGAAACCAACAATGATTATTTAAAACCGTCTGAAAAGTTTTGGTTTTTCTTAGTTAATTCATGTAGCACAAGTTTTTTCGTATGTAAGATCAAGTTTGCATTGAAAAAAATCCAAAAACTTGTCTAAAGAAGCGTAGGCTAATTTCAACAGAAAAACAATTCCAGACGCAAAAGAAAAACAAATTTAATCGCAAAAAATGAACTTATACTTGAATTTTAAGATTGGAGGATTTTCTTCCTGTTTTATTACCATCTTCGGCGAAGAAAAATTATATCCACTTAAAAATGAAACTTCTTCCGTTTTGATCAAATCTCTTACCGTTAAGAAATTAAGAAATTTGATATTGAATCGCAACGTAATTAATAATATCATCCGATCATAAGTTGAATTCATTATCAAAATAAGGGTTGTTCATGATCCAAACATTCGGAATAACTGGTCTTAGCTACTAAAATATTCATGCACAAAATTAATTAGATTGGCTTGCGGATGAATGCTATTGGTTTCATAAGCCGCACAGAATTAGATAGTAAATAGAGAAGTTACAAGAGCACAATAAAATAATCGTTGTGATAATGAATACGAGGGCAATCTCATTAAAGCTCATTTCATTAAAATTGGTTTGCAATGAAGCATGATTTCCATATGAATGTAATACAATTTTTATGAATCCGCTTCTGATTTTCAATCGCTGAAATCTGTACATCAAAAATCGATCGAAGTTGCATGTGTCATTTAGAGATTAATATTACATGTAAATTCATTTTATTCCATTTTATTAATTGCTTGCTGTGTATTGTTTTTTTTTATAGAACGTAAACGTGGCCGACAAACTTACACGCGATATCAGACGCTTGAACTAGAGAAAGAATTCCATTTTAATCGTTACCTGACACGAAGACGACGCATCGAAATCGCTCACGCATTGTGCCTAACCGAACGGCAAATCAAAATTTGGTTCCAAAATCGCCGCATGAAATGGAAGAAAGAGAATAAAACAAAAGGTGAACCCGGCTCAGGTGATAATGATGATATGACTCCGCCAGCAAGTCCGCAATAAATTTTGTGGCTGCAAACCATAAATGGATCGCAGCAACAACAGCAATAACATCAATAGCATCAAGAGTAAGTCTGTGCTCAGCGCCCAAAATGCATTTTCGGGCACACAGACGCAAAACAACAACAAAAATTTAACAAGAGAAATAAACACGCAGAAAGCAACTAACGTAAGTGATTAGTAGATTACCAACCCATTCATTTTGCCAGCAAAGTGAAAAGCAACAAATGCAAAACAAAACGCAGCAAAATAAAATGAAATGAAAAGAATATACAATCGTTTTCGTACGTGATGCAGTTTGTGTTCGTTTCGATCTATATATCTCATGTAAAGAATCAATTCTCAGCCCATTTTGTTTAATATTTAAGTATAGAAATCATGAATTGCATGCAAAACACCCTTTTTCATTAAACGAAAATAAAACATGGTTTTTATGACGAACAATTTTCAACAGTTTTTGATCCAGCAAAAAAACCAGATCATTTTATTTTCGTCGACTCATTGCATTGTTTGAGAATGGAGAAACACATAAACTGCATTCACCTACTCAAAGATCAAATGGATTTAATTCAAAAGAAACAACTCATGTGACCTCAACTTAAGTTTAAAGAAAAAAAAATGAAACTTTATTAAAATTAATGGACAAACAAATAACTTTAAACACTTGATTCTAATCTAAAAGTAAAACAAAAAATGAAAGAAAATGAAACAATATAAAACAGTAAACAATAATATTTAAATATTAGTGAGAAAGAAGAAGAAGAAAAAACTGAAGAAAAATGAAAAAAAAGGTGAAAACGTATGTAATTGTGTAATTATTTAATTGAATTATTATTAATATTATTACTATGCATAGGAAGAGGACGAAAAATTATGAAGTAAACAAACAAAAAAAGATACTATGAATTGGTAAATGCATCATATGGTTCATGAAAATATAAAAATGGCATTTAAAATGGCACATTTTCGGCATGAAATCTGAGCGCAATCGACGATCCCGATGCAACTCTTTTAGAATCTCTCTTTTTTCTGCTATTATTTTTTTGTGTGTGAAAACGTCTCCAAAGCATGGTTTTCATTTTGCTTTCGGTCGCTTGCACCCTTCTTGTGTGGGGGGAGGCGAAGGAGATTTTCTTGCCAAATAAAGAACCGTTGCATGCAGTCGACACGCAAACAGATCGAATCAGAAAACAGAGGCCAGTGATTCAGTGCAATCTTATTATTTTTTTCTTTCATCTTACCATTTAATTTACACTCTGATACACTATTTTTGATTCTTTCTCTTTCGCATTCAAAATTGTATATTTATGCGTTAATTTAAAGCAACAAGCAAAAAAAAAATTGGCACATTCTGTTGAGATTCTTATGCACGCGCACATCAAAATTTATGGATTCTTTTTTTTTAGTTTTGTGGTTCAATCATTTTTCGAATCGAAAATTTCGCTACTTTTGAAAATGATTACAATAACACAACCCCCCCAAAAAATACGTAATTCTAAATAAAGAATCGACACAATTTTTGTAAATAAATGATGGATTCCTTCCCTTGTTTGTATCTCGCGGGGAGGAATGATTTTTTCTTCTGTGGACATACTATTGTAATCACTATTGAATTAATTTTTAAATAAGAAAAAAAGAAACAATCGATTGGTTTGCATGTTTTAGCAAATACTCTTCACTCACTCACACTCACACACAAACACATTTTTTTCTCTCATTCATTTTTATATACAATCAAATGTATGAATAAAATTAAGAAATGTAAACATTTAGTTGATGGTTGACATACAAAAAGCAAATACTCTTTTAGCAGCCAAATTGTAGAGCGCAAGCAAAGTGGTCACCTTAAATTGGTTCCGCATAACTATTGTTTTGCATTATTAGATTCAACGATTTTTTTTATTTGCCAAAAAAAGCATTAGCAGCGACTACTTATCCGGCAATCATTTAAAAAAAACACTCGTTAAAAGGAATCAACCAAAATAGTTTACTTGTCTTGAATGATGACAAAATAAAAATTGGATATGGAGTATACAGAACATTTTTAGTAAAAAAAAACAAGTAACCAGTAGAGAATTTTTAACTTAGAAGAAGAGGAAGAAAAAACTGATCTCTTTTGAGCAGTATCATGTCTTTGTTAGTTTTCAACATTTTTTTTTGGAGAAGTTAAAATTAAATGCTTCTTTTTTCGTAAATTGAAATAAACTAAAATGAAAAATTATAACCAGCAAAAAATATGCACGATTCACTAATTTACAATTAAAATTTCGGTTGGATTAGCCTTGAGGCCAAATCCAAATCGACAACTGAAATTCATCACAACCCTTTTTACTGCAAAAACGAAAAATTTATGAGGATTCAACACATATACACCGTAACACACAACAAAAAAAGAGAAAACACTTGCATTTCGAATGCTGCACGCAAGCACTAGCTTAAGCTAATTTTTTAAAAATTGAATCTTTTGAGAAAGAATGTATTTTTTGTTCGCCCAGTGATTGAAATAATGTAGACCTTTAAGAAGAATAAAATACTCCGTAAATGCAATTGTTTTCATTGAATCAAGAATTAAAGGCCCCGATTTATTAATTTAACATGAACAAAAAATAAGAAAATTTCATTAATTGTGACATTTGTTTCTTCAGTTTGTTTAATGGCTGTTAAATGATGTCACGCATTACCACCTTTGAATACCTTTTTTGTTGTTGTTGTTCCAAGTCGAAGGATGTGTTGCTTTCAATTCTTTGAGTTTGAGAAAAAAAAAGAATCCGGAACTCAATATTCTACATAATGAAGAAGAATTGAGTCGCAAAAGATAAAAAAATGCTGACGAAACATTGATGAAGCGATTTATACCAAAGCCATAATAATACAAATAGTTCACTCTGTTCTTTTTTTTTCTGTGTATAAATAAACAATTTTCTCCTATTATTCGTGTCTGTCCATGAGTGTAAAAATAGAATATTTTTGTGTACATATAGTTTAATTTAAATGAAGATAAAAAAAAACAATAGCCTAGCGTAATAATGTAATGAATTACTCATAATCTAACTCAATGCAATCATAAAACACACACACAAAGACACTCAACAAGAAAATACACACACACCGTGAAACAGTATATGTATCACATCTCATAGACTCAAAGTGATGAAAGCATCAGACAAGAAATGAAAGAAAACATGCGAAACAAAACTCCCATTTTGGTGGATAAGAAATGTTCTTGTTTTGATCGGAGTTTTGTTACGTCTACATAATCATAAATAAATAGAATTGACCACAACAAAAAAAACCTTATTATGGCTTAAAAATTGATCATTCAAAATTTGATACCTCCTCGATGAAAAACCGAATATACGTAATTTACCAGTGGCTTCATCAAACAAATATTATATATGCATGTATTTTTTTAATAGTAAATCGATGATTTTTCTTTCGGCACGGAATTTTTTCTCGCAAATTTTCTGACATTCAAATCAAAAACTAAATTTGGAATATGTTGTGATTGAGTTTTTTTCTTCACAACTTTTGGCACAACAAAAATCTATATGGAAATGACCAGTTCAAAAGTCATCGTTTTCATGTTGATTGTTTCAAAATTGTATTGGCATATAGTTTTTTTCCCCATCTCATTTACATTTAAAACATAAACACAATTACACAGGTTTTATTTCGTTTGTACTCATCGGTTGCTGCAATTTGATAGCAAATAAAATACTATTTAAAAAAAAAATACAGTTTTATTTCAAGATTGAAAAAAACAAAAAACATTGATTTTTCTTCGATTTTAGATTTTCTAGTTAAGAATTAAGAACCACTAAGAACATGAACGAAATGAATGAAAAAAAACCTGCAAATTAAGTAAATATTACATTTAAAGAACAAGAAGAAAACACCTAAAATATATATACAAATAAAGATTTAAAGAAACAAAATACGTAAGTGAAGTAAATTATTCTGTAAAATTATTCGACAACAAGAAAAAAATGAAAATAAGTGAATAGGGCCACAAACAACTACAAGAATCACCACACAGACACATTTCTTTGATATATATTATTATATATAATAATAAAAGAATATTTATGTTGTATAAAAATGAAAAACCCACTACTAATTAAAATACAAATAAAAGATATTTGAATGAAACAAAATGAAAATTCCGAGCAGCACCTTTTTCGTTTAAGATCCTTTTTTTAGCAATAATTTAAGATATTTTGCAAATTTTATGAATGCAATTTAATTTATTTCACCTTTATTTAATTCAGCTGTAAATAAGAAAAATCGAAAAATATTTCCTTTACATCGAGCGATGACAATTATATCAAGAACAAAAATTAATTTTCTAGAATTCTTTTTATCATATTTTTAGTGAGATATGACAGGCAGTGTTGATCGATCATCGAACAAAAGACCAACGACAAATGTGATTGATGTGTCAAGCGAAAGCGATGATTTTACTCCATCATTCCGCCATTGTGTACGAGGATACCAGTTTGCATTTGCCTGAATGGCATTGTTTAGTGTTGTCTTTTGTTGTTAAGCAAAGGAAAACATTGGAGTTGGAGGATATTCGCAGTTGCCGAAAGAGGCATAATATAGTGAGAGAGCGCAAATCAAACCGCAAAGAAGAAATTAGTCCAATTTTTTTCCAGCATTGTTACCAATTTTACGTAATTGCTTGTGAATCATGGTGATAAATATTCAACAATAATATAATAAGCGGAGCAGAACTGATGCGTGCACAATGTCCAACACACTGGGAGAACGTGGTAGCTTGGGCAGACGAAAAGCATTGTGTGTCACCTATTTGCAGATGACGAATTTCATTTCCATTCGATTTGCTTACACAATGCTCAGCAGTGGCTGGAGTTGGCAATAGCGCATTTGATTCGAACTTTTCAATATTTCATTTGGTTGTTTTTTCAATGACAACTCGCCTCCGACATATCCATCAAAAAGTGTAGCCGTTTGTTTTAATTGTATTTTCCTTCATCTGTCATTCAATTGCAATGTATTGTTATATGTGGCTGGATAAAAATGGATGGCAATTAATAAATTGCTGTTTTTGGATAGGAAAAGCGTTGGTATATGAAATTTTTGAAATGTCAAAAATGTAAATGAAATTCAAGCCGCCCATTCAATATACCCCAAGTCAAAGGACCCCCATTGCTGTTGTTTTTTTGGTCGAAGAGGAAAAGAAGGAACAAGAGTGAGAGAGAGAAAAGGATTAGAATGTCAGTCTATCATGACTATTCGTTTGTTTTCATATGATGTTTTTTTTAATCCGTTGCATGGATACACGATGAATTTCACTTCACCTCAAACTACTAGTGAAATGATTTATTTGCCGTTGGCTGAATATGACTGCTATGAAAAATATTTTGTTTTCCACTGGCACGTTATAACTGGGCTACACGTAACACCGAATCGATCGAAGTCATGCATTCATTTAAAGCATTGTGTTTATATTTCTAGTGTGTTTTGACCACAAAATACATGAAATCGCGGCCACACTCTCGTGCAATATATAAATGGAGTCCCTAGATGGATCGAACAAACTGAAATGCTTTTCCATTTGCTCTATATAATTGAAAATATGATTTGAAGCGCGACAAACGCTTGAGCTGTTCTTTGATTTCCATTAAAACAATCCGAAACGCGCTAATTCTCTTCGTATCATAACATTGAAAAAGGCCGCAGTCAAGCGTTTACTCGCACGCATTTTCCGAGTAATTGCGTTGTATTCGTGGGGGGATTCATTATCACATGTATGACAAAAACAAAAGCCGAGAATAAATTTTCCATCCAAAAACATTTTACCCGCATATACTTTTGTGTATGTGTACTTGTCATAAATGCACACGCACCACATTGATTTCCAAATATTTACGTAGAAAATACACGGCCCTCCGAAACGTTTAATGCTATTTTTCAATCAACGCATGTTTTGAATTTATCCCATTGTGAGACATCCAACCGTTTTATATGCGTTTATTTGCCAAACAATTTAATGCCGCATTTTCAAACAGCAACAAAGAATACTGTTTAATTAGTTCAACAGACTTTGCTCTCTCCTTCACTCTTCCTCTGTACAATTGGATCTAATCTCTTAATGTTGAAAATCAAGTTTTCATAACTTAACATAATTTTCAAATCGATCATATGGCTCGCTCGACATGAGTTCAAAATCAAAATTCAGTCTATTGTCCTCATCAATGACTTGGTCAAAACGCTAAAAATGCATATACGATGGTCTTTGTTCAAGTGCTCAACTCAAACAAACAATCGTGTCCGAAACTCTGGAATGTTGTGTTTCATTGTCTTGTGAAAAAAAAATTATATACAATACAGCACCAACAAACAACACACATTCATACATACACAAGAAACACGATCAAACCAACAACACAAACACACACATAAAGTTATGCACACACACACGACACCATCAACGTCAACATATCCAATCCAACTGTGTTCGCATGTAGAGTTGAACTGCTTATACACACTTGTATTCTATATTCCTTTCGTCAAAATGCCAAACCATAGCCATCATCTTAAAACGTCAAACGAGATGATTATATGTTACAGTGACATATAGTCGAACTGTTCGATCATCGCCGTCTCCCGATACGATTTTTTGGAAACCATTATAAAATGGGAACAGACAATTTTTACGTCCGCCTCAGGTGCGAACCATACACGAACTTTGTGTAATATGTATTGTTTGGGTTTTCGTTGCCGCCCTACTCTTTTTTCTCTAGATGTTTGTTTTATGCATTCGTTCTTCTCGTTTCAAATTTGAAATTCCAAACCATGTCGTATAACTTCAAATGGATTCACAAACAAAGAAAATTATTTCATTTGAGAATCGTTCTTTTTTTTGTCGTTCATTCAAAGTGAATTTCAATTTCTTGTTGGAAATAATGTAATTTTTGATTTTTATTTGATGGTGATTTATTTTGCAAGCATGATTTTTGATGGAGTTTTATAGTGTTGTTTTTGTGATCATCACAGAAAATCAAAGGTAACGTATAGTTTTTAGACCGAAATAAAAAGTGATGACTTTAATATAAGGTGAGTCTTTTTTTTTGAAGAAATAAATTGAAAAAGCAGTAAAGAAAAATAATTCAAGATTGAATTTGAAAATAAAAGGTAAGTATTGAACTCGATACTTGGATAAAAATTATAATAAAGACATGCATTTTCAAGCATACACTTCTGAATCGTGTTAGAAGTAAAGTAAATTCAAAGTTCCGTCGGCTGATGATTCGCTCTAAAAAAAGTTCTTACATATCGTACCAAACGAAGCCTGCTATATAGAAAGCATAGAAAAAGTCATATTGCAATAAATAAATAAACTTGCATAATCAACCGTCATGACAAATAAGTAAATATATCGAGAACAACGATTACTTTCACTTTTAAAGTATCTGTTGAATGATCACCGTCATAATAACACTTACCGCTACTACTAAAAGTTGTAAATGGTTTTTTTTCTTTCCTTCACCGCTCGCTATTATATTTAGTGATATCGTTTTTACTTACCTTTTGGCCCAATAAATTATAATAATTATTTTGGTTTCTCAATAAATTATAATAATCGGTCATGACTTTTTCTCATAGACGCTAAAAATAAATGTATGTGAAAACAATCACGGTGACATCACATCAAATTCGAATGGTGATTTATTTATTGCTTTATTCAGCAGAGTTTCAATCATTACCAGACTCATTTAGGATTATGACTTTACATTATAGTTGATTACGTTCATCCGACAAACGACAACAAAGAGTTCGACCTAAAGAACACACAATACGAACCACATCATCATCGTACACTTGTGTTCTTATTTGCA